TTTTGTATCTGGATCAAGTCCTAAATGTTTGTTATATTGAATTAGCTATGAAATATATAGATAGGGATTTTGATAAACGACTTCTTGTGGCTGAAATTATTAATAATCACTCATTGGTTGGATGGAATAGATCTGGAAGATGATAATAAAATCAAAACCAAATTTTGGAAGCTAATAGGATTAAACCAGAACCGATTAAACAATACATTCACAAGACATGTATACTGGTAAGCGAAAAAATTTTCTGAATATATTAGTACTGTTGAGATCTCCAAATTAGACTAATGTAAATAATTTGTGGAATTCTATCTTATATAGCACCTGAGATTTTGGTGAGTGAATTATATACTCAAGCATCAGGTATTTATAGTCTTGACTATTTTGACTAGGCAAAGAGCATTTAATGGAATTCCGTTTAAGGGTGATCTTGCATCGAGAATTGTCGGTGGATCAAGACCTAAATATTTGTTATATTGAATTAGGTATGAATGTAAGGATAGGGATTTTGATAAGAAATGAATCTGGAAGATAATAATGAAATCAAAACCAATTTTTCGGAAGTTAGTAAAATTAAACCAGAACAGATTAAATAATATATTTACAAGCCACATAGTAGACTGGTAAGCTATATGGACCAAAATTTTTCTACAATTATGATAACTATGTTAGATATATATAAATATATTTATGTAATATGCGCTTAGAAAGACGCGACTATAGTCATTTTTTCTAAAATAAATTTGAATATTTGTTTCTACCATTTTTTATTTATTTTTGCAAAAATATACATTTTGAAAATGATTTGAAAATTACATCAATTTAACAAAGCAAATTTTTATAAGAATACCGTTTTAGCTTTATTTCTAAATTAAATATTGAAAAGCTAACTAAAGTTAAAATAAAAAAAAAACAAGGATCTGAATATTATTCTTAACAGTTACTAATTATACTAAAATGCCGGAACATTACAAGAAAAGTTTATTTTTATTTCAGCATATAGGTTTGAGTCGAAATCCTGGAAAAAAACCCCCAAAAAATTGATAAAACTATAATAATTTCAGATCTGGAAAAATGGTAAATATATTAGATGAATCCTGAAGGTGGGTGAGTTTGGTTTTGAAGCGGTTAGTAGATAGGTGAGTGGGTTTGGTTTTGGAGCAATTAGTGGGTGGGTGGGTTTGGTTTTGGAGTAATTAGTAGGTGGGTGGGTTTGGGTTTAAACCGATTAGTAGGTGGTAGGTTTGGTTTTGGAGTGATTAGTAGGTGGTGGGTTTGGTTTTGGAGCGATTAGTGGGTGGGTAGTTGTCTTTGGGTGATTAGTAGGCAGACGATTTGGTGTTTAGATTAATGGGTAGTTTTTTAGTAATTAGTACATGAATAGGTTTTGTAGAACTTTAACAGTTAATGATATGTAATACATACGTACATACGTACAAAGCATATCAGATATATAAAATAAAAAAAACTTTACATTTACAAATCGGGATTTTTATTAATAAATTTGCATCATAATTACTTAGTAAATATAGATCTTTTTCTCCAATTGACTTACAAATTATTAATTAAAGAGCTAAAATTTTTAAACACAATATTGAAGAATGAAACAGATTTAGATAAATTACTATGAACTATAAGCACAAAATAAATTGAAATAATTCAAATTATACTAAAAATGTTTAAAAAAATTAAAAATATTTGAAATTAAAGTGCTATAATTGTAAACAACAAAATTCAAAAATGAAACAGATAGAGATAAATTACTATGCACTATACAAGCTAAATAATTCAAAATAATTTGAATTATATTAAAAATATTTGAAAAAATTAAAAATATTTGAAATAATGAACTAATATTTTTAAACGTTAATATTCAAGAATTAAATTAGACTATTACTGAATTTTATTTATATATAAAATATACAATTTGATTTAAAATAGATAATCTATATTAAAATAATTCGAAATAATTCTGTAAAGTTGTATTTACATTAATAAAATGAAATCTATTTGTGAAATGAATAAGTGAATAGAATTATTTAAAAAATTGAAATAATTCCCATGATTCTAATAAATAAAAATATCATATTAATATGTAAAAATTTTAAAATATTTGATTATTTCAATATTTATTAAAAATTATAATGCTATTTTTTACAGAAATATTAATATAATCAAATCAATTCGCAATAGTCCTAATTTTTTCAATTTATTTTGCATAATTCTATTTATATAAAATTATATTTCTACATTTAGTAAAGAAAATAATTTATATAAATTAATTTGATTAAATTCTTAAAAATCTTAATTAGTTCACTTTATTCATGTTAATTTCAATTAAACAACTTTTAATAAATCGAAAAAAGATTGATAATAGACAAAAATGGAATCTGCGTTAAAATTTTACATTGTTGCACAATCAATTTAAAATATTAATAGTTAGACTTTTATTTATTTAGTTTTAGTCATTTCGAATCTATTCGAAATTATTTACTATTATAAAATTTGTTAAAGTAAATTTATTTTATAAAATTAACGATAATTTAAATTATTCATATTGATATTAATTTTAGTTGGTTTATAAAATTAACGATAATCTAAAATATTCTAAAGTTATTATTTTAAATTTAATATATTTCGAATTAATTCGAATTAATTCGAATTATCTTTAAACTATTCAAATTAATTTATGAATTTATTTTTATTTATTTAAATTATTACTAATATATTGAAATTAGCAATTCAATCGAATAAGTAAAAAAACACATCATGTAAAGATCATTTTCTACTATTGTCTGTTTGTTTTAATTGCTATTTTAGTTAAATTAATGCACATTTATGCGAATTATTTAAATCTTATTGTATTAAGTCAACAATTATCTCTATAAAAGGTAAAAATTTTACTTTATTGTAGTTTATTAACTCCTTACATATTAATTACCTTAGTACGAATAAATTTGAAAACTTACTAAATATAAGTTTATTATGATTCTACATAATGCGAAATAAGCATATTCGTGAAATTTACTATAAATAGAATTCGTTTGATTTAATGTGAATTAATTCAAATAAAAGTCGTTCACATTTCTAAATAAAGTAATGAAAGTTTAAAAGGGTAGGTGCTAATATTTTTAAGGTAATTGAAATATTGCACATTGTTCTAAATAATATTAAATTACCTTAGAACGAATGAATTTAGTTTAAATAAAGTCTATAATAATTCTATGTAACAATCGATAATGCAAAATATGCATGTTTGAGAAATTTACTATAAATAGAATTCTTTTGATTTAATGTGGATTAATTCAAATAGAATTAGTTTGTATCCTAAATATAGTAATGAAAGTTTAAAAGGGTAATAGTTTTATAGGAGCTAATATATTTAAGGTAATCAGATTAATTCGCATTGTTCTAACTAATACTAAATTGATTAGATGCATATCAGGAGTTATAATTTTTTAATCGAGTACGTTGGCATATAAAATTTAATAAAGCGATATATTTCAAATGTATTTAATATATTAAATTTAATATAATTAAATAAAGATTAAAATATAGCGAATTTATTACAATAAAACTGAATAGAGTCAAATTAAATTGCAAATATAATATATAAAAAAATTAATTACTTTAGATAATGCGAATGTTATAAACTATCGTCTTTAATAAATATGACAGATTAAAATGATTTTTTAGGGACGATTTAAAAAATTTCAGGTGATATTTTTTAGGGTTAGAGTTAAAGTTAAGGTTAGGGTTTAGTATTAGATTTATTAAAAAAAGAGTATAAGTGAGTTTTATAAGCTTTAAAAGGGAGCGAGAGAGGTTACCTGTTTTATTTTAATCTGATTTCATTTTAATTTGCAACAATAAATTTCAAAATAAATTGAATTAATTTAAGTATATTGAAATCATTTCAAAAATATATAAATCTATCTACTTTTGCTTTCATCCTACTCGTAGTTTTTAAGATCAAACTCATTTCCTGAATAATTCAAATCCTTTAACTTAACCTCAGTTACATTTACTCTTATTGCAATCTTTAATTTCATTACTTTCATTACTATTTTCACATTACTCTTATATTTTCATTTATTTCGCATTATTTCGAATTATTTCATTTTATTTAATATTATATATTTTATTTTATTTTTTATTTATTTTATTTTTATATTTTATTTTATCTTTTATTTTATCTTATCAAATGGCTTCTTCTTCAAAATCGGGTGTTGAAAAACATGATCAAATGGTTGCTAGTCAGCGTAAGACTTTTAGAAAAATGACTGCTATTAGGCCTGCACCTCAGTTAGTTACTAAGTGGAAAAGTGCACCCGTAATCGAAATAGTTAGCACTCTATTGCATCCATCTCCAAGACCTTCTTATAATGGTTAAAATTAAAAAATATTTTGTTTATTTCATTAATTTACTAATTATAGTATTTTTAATTTAATATATTATTTAAAATAATTTAAGATCAAGTTACTTTAACCGCTATTATAGATAAGCTCGATGAGCTATCCAAGCAAATTGTAACTTTGAATCGAAAACTTTCGGCTTTAGATAGCCGTGTATCTGAAGGTCTTAAATTAAAAAATGAAACAGTTTTTTACCGTTCTAAGGAAGATCAAGATTGGAATACTTATTATCAAGAATATCTTGCTAGTCCTGTAAATATTTTAATTATTTTGAATTATTTCAAATTATTTCGCCTTTTCAAATTATTGCTCTATAGTTTATTATAATTTTTCATTATTTCGTTAAATTTGTATTTTTATTTTCTTAACTAATTCGATTTATTTCACATAAATTTAATTTCACTTAATATTTTTCTATATGTTGTATTCTTGTTTAAATAATTTTTTTATATTTCTATTTATCACTACTGTCATTTATAAAAATTTTAATTATTGATATTTAATCTAATTTAATTCGAACTAATTTGCACTAATTTAATTTATTTGCATAAATTTTTTTTATTAGCTTTTAGCAGCACATCATTTGTGCAGAAGTCGACTAACAACATCTATCAAAAATGTGCTTTTTTCATTTTATAGCGAGTCATTATTAGATCATATTACTACTAAAGCAACTCCCTCTTAAATAAAGAATTGGAAGAAATCATCTAAAACAGACAGAGCATATAAGATGCTTTTGAGACCTATTTTAAATGATTCGGACGAAACCTGCTTCGACCAAATTTTGGAAAATGTTTGGTTAACTGCTATGCCAAATAACAATCAATTGGCATACACATTGACCATATGCCAAATTATGTTAAATCATAATTTTGATAAGTTGG